GCACCGTATGGTTGAAGCAATCAAGAAGATGCTTGTAAAGAGAAAGGGTCTAGGTGACCCAGACTTTGAAAAACATGTTGAAGATGTTGTAAACGATATGCTCTCTGACGACACAGCAACAGATTTGAAGGGCCAAATAGATGATGACAAAGCTAGCGATCCGTGGTCTCATCTTAAAAGGTACTCATATATACGACAAAGCTAGTAATCCTTCGTCTCATCTTAAAAGGTACTCATATATATTCTTAAGGGAGAGTATATAATGAGGCCATTTATGGGAGATTTTTACTTTTTATTTTATTGTTATGATTTTTTTATAGAAAATTGTTTTATGCGGGTTGGACCACATTTCTACAATAACGGTCGAATGGTATAAAGCGTTCATCTAAAAAGATGGATGTAAATTGGTAGTCCATATAAAAACATGAATAACTAACGATCCAAATGTTTTCTTAATAAATTTATTATTTGTAGTTTTCAATTTTTTTTTTTCATATTCTTGATCATAATGTTAAAGATTATATATTCTCTAAATATTAGGATCAAAATATATTTAAAAAATATATTTATTGCGAGGCCCACATTTTTACAATATGCAGGTTATCTGCATAGAAACAATGTATTTTTTTTTTTATTGCTTACTATTGTTATTTATTTATTTATTATTCTTTTAGGGTGTTGTATGTGAAGGTATACTTATATTTTTTTTTGTGTGTGTGAATCAATGGGGATATCGGGCCCCTACCTGTTTTATTAATAAACAAAAGAGGTTTTACATAAACTCTTTTTATACAACCCTTGGCAAGGGAACAGTAGTAACATCATATGAAATGTAAGCCATTACAAAATAAGAGGGGGCGAGCATGCCACACAGTGGCTTCATTCATAGAGACCGCTACCTTGGCCAAATATATATTCATTTCATTGAAACTAACTATATGAAACAAATTAGGATGAACAGAGTGGATTTGTTTCAGCATAAATAACACAACATTATAGATTCTCATTTCTATTTAGCAATAAAATGATAATGATCTAGAAAGAGAAGATATTGGAAGGATTAACCCACATCCCTCTCTATGGTTGTTGAGAATTTCACACAAAATATTGTCCTCTAAATCTCTTCATGCATGTCAATGGCAATGCCTTTTAGTGGCTAAATGAAGACTTATCTCTTGTCTAACCACATCGTGAGAATTTCATTACAAAACCATTGAGCTCGCTCTTTCCCAATTTTTTGAACTTTGAACTTCCACATTAAAAACATCATCTTTTCCTGCAGGTTGAGGCTACTTCGTGACCATGGCACTAGTCACTTGTGCGTCGTCGGTAGGCACAGGGGCGCAGTTTCTATGACTACCTCTATTAATGGCTTATTTGGAGCATTGTTTAGGTCTTGTAAAACAGGGATAATACTCAACAATCAGATGGATGATTTCAACATCCCTACAGACATTTCAAATCCCACTATACCTTCAGCAAGTGCAAACTACATCGAGCCATTTAAAAGGCCCTTATCCTCCATGATGCCCACCATATTTCTCAAGGTCCTCTCTCTCTCTCTTTCTCTCTCTCTCTCTCTGGTCTTTTATCATCATTTTAGGTTTTTTCCAATTAATTGGGGTTGGCTACATGAATCTTGGCTCTCTCTCTCTCGTATGAGAAAATACCTTCTTACTGCATATTCCATTTATGTTACATAGGATCAAGAACTTGAGGGTGTGATTGGTGGAAGTGGAGGACCGAGAATAATTCCTACAACTATACAGGTCCTCTTGAACTATTTTATTCATCAATTGGACCCAGGTTCTTCTGTTTTTTCACCTAGACTCTACCATCGGGTATATTTCTGCTCACTTTTTGCTTCTTCATACATTCATGTTTTACTTTATGTTTCGGAGTAATTTGGATTTGCTTTAGGAGTGTGGAAGATCATAGCCAAGGTGCCCCATGAGATAACAAAAGTCGAAAACTCAAAATATCATTAACATCATCATTAGAGCCTTAATCTAACTATTTAATTTGTTAAAATATGATCTACAAAAAATAAGAAACCAAAGAGAGTCAAAGTTCAAAATGAATTGTAATGGCCTTGGGATCAAGGAGATTGTAGAACCTCTCTCTCTCTCTCTCACTCACACAATGGGCTAGTGAGAAATATTGTTGGTTGAATACATATATTTTTTAGGGATTATATAATAATACATCATTTATTTTTGGTATAAGATGGTCACATTCACTTTAGCCATTGAATGTGCATATACTAGATAAAAGTATTTCACAAAATTCAATAAATTTTATTTTGAACTTTTTGCCCATACAATGACACATTATCAACCCCCCGATTTCAGATGTAATGGTTAATGATGATTGTGGCTGCATTGCATCAGAATTAAATAATCTCACTATATACATTTCCTATTTCTTATCATATTGCAACCCTTTTTATTTTATTTTTTTCGCAGCTCCTACCGAAGACTTTAGAATACGAAAACTGGGACACAGTGACTAATTATCACATCGAAATGCCCAACTATGATAGGTTGGTCCTGAAAAGTAAAGGTCATCTTATTAAAGCAGTATCAGACATGTCGCACTGCCAAATTGTGATCCAGGACCTAATAAAGGGACAGCTCACTGCCGTAAGTGACCCAAGAAAGGGCGGGACCCCTGCTGGTTACTAAAATAATTTCTATTTCCATTGTACCTTTACTGCTAAGTTATTGGCCTTCTTATGGTTTGGGCTCAATAATGAGTATCTCGTTAATGGCCTTCTTATGGTTTGGGCTCAATGATGAGTATCTCCCTTGTTTTTCTTAATAATGTTTAAGGCTCCTGATATTACTTGGATTTGAACACTTTGTTTGTTAGTTGGATCTGTTATCAAGTTTACTGCTATTTGGATTTGATTGACTCGTTCTTGTCCTAAACCTCATTTTCTTAATTGTCTCTCTATCCCTCTGACTTTACCGTTATTTGGATTTGAAAAGATGAGTACCAATGTAATAAATCTCTGCCCGCAATGTAAAATGTGGAAAGACCTATGCGATAAATCTCTCTCCAGATTATTGAAATGCACACAAATTTTCTTGGGAAAAAATTATATAGGGACACTCTTTCGACCCCAAAATTACCAAATGAGACATTTTATGTAAAAATTAAAAAATTCTGACATGCACAGAGACATTTTGTTTTTTACAATCTTCCATATATTTGGCAATGACAACACCGAACATCAAAAAATCCCACAAAATATTTATGTGTCTTCTCTGTCCAGTGTAGGAATCACCGGACAACAGTGTCTTTTGAGTAGTGAGTGCATTGGCTAGTCATGGAAATGCTCGATAGAATGGACGCTTTCTCCCATGGAGCATCATCCACAAGTATACAATCTCCCTCTTTATCTTCCTGAGGGTGTACTAAGATCTAATAGCTTCAATTCATAAATTAACTTCAACAAAAAATAAAATAAACACCATCTATGCACATAAAAAAATTAGCATCTCAAGATTTGAATATGGACCGTCCAATATTTTGAGGGTGAGATCTTGTTATTAGAAAAACTTTAGTTTTAGCTTTTGAAAACAAAAGCGTAGTAATCTTTAGGTGGTTCCCAAAATTTCAGTTTGAAAGAAAATCCTTCGAAGTCATTCTTCTCCCTAGGGAGTATGTATAGTATAGTCCCTCGGGAGTATGTTCTACATGGACAAATGTGACAACGCCTTTTCATCATGGGCATCTTGGACGTCAAATTTATAGTTGATTATGATGCAAAACAATTATGACATTACTTTTAGCCAAAAAGATATTATATTCCTATAGGAGTATATTGTTTATTCATTCGCTCCAGTAAAACCTAACGGGGAATTAATTTTAGGTCGTTTTTTAATTGATTTTAAAAGTATTATCAAGTGGCACGTACTTATGTTACAATAATTGGTAGGTTAGCTGTGTTTCAATAAATAGTGAAATTGTTACTTAGTTGATTTGTTGGGGTGTAGTTTGATACCGTGTATATATATATATATATATAATTGGAAAAGCATGTAACGAGATCATTCACCTTTGATATAAGGTGATCACAATTTGGTTATGGGATATGTAATTGGGTGACTGTATTTATTCCATTGATTAAGCTTAAAGCTAAAAAACAAAATTTTCGAACTTTGTGACAAACCCAAGGTGGTAGATTTCACATTTAAAATTTAATAGTATTTGTGACCTCCTTGTATTAAATGTAAATGATTTCATGGTATACAACTCCTTTATTATTTAACAAGGATGAATAATATACTATAAGATTGTTTTTCTTTTTTACAAGAAGATCATAATCACTTTCAGCTATCAGATGTGCGAACCAATAGCCGGGGTATGTCAAAGAATTTAAGAATAATAATTTTAGATTTTAAACCCAACCAATAGTTCCGTGCTCTCAAATTTTAGGTTTAACTCGACCTTCTGACAACAAAGAAAAATAATTTTTTTTTTTTAGTATTGCACTGGAGGAAAATGGTCCCATGTATGCTTTTTTTATTTGAATACCTCTGCAAGTGGTCATAAACTTCTTAGCATATTTTGTACTGGTTTGCCATCTTATTTAAGGCCATAAAACCTTCAAACTGAAAGAGGAGGAGGTAAGTCTTGTGAAAGTGTGGTGGATGATGGGTAATGGATTCCTAACGTTGAATATCTCATTTTTAACTCGAGAAAAATGAGAGGATGATCTCCTTTCATTCCAACGTGTTTAACCTACAGGTTGGGACAACCCTACGC